AACAAGAGTTTTTAAGTTTTGTATTGTATAATCGAATTCAATATAATTATCCTCTTGCCTTAATGGGTAACATAGACAAAACCCCATTATCATTCGACCTTCCAAATAATACTACAATTGATAATTGTAGTGCAAATACAGTTTCAATTCAGACCTGTAGACATGAAAATCATGTTTTACCATTGTACTTACTTGTTTAGCTGATGAGACTAAATTGCCTCCACTTATTATCTTTAAATTAGTTAATATTCTACGGCAAGTATTTCCCGCTGGAGTTTATGTGCGTACAAATCCTAAAAGATGGATGAATGAAGATGAGATGCTATGGTGGATTGAAAATATGTGGAATTTGCGATCAAGAACATCAGTAGACCCACATTCACTTTTAGTTTTAGATTCATTCACTGCTCATATTACTGATATAGTTAAACATCGATTCTCTGAAAAAAACACAAATTTAGCTATAATTCCAGGAGGTTTAACCTCAAAAGTTCAACCATTGGACATTGCTATCAACAAATCATTTAAAGCAAGAGTAAAGTATACAAATTATATATTATATAAATAAATATAATAGATTTCTTTATTTATCTTATATATATAGGTGCGAAATTACTATAATGATTGGATGGCCAGTAAAATTCATACTTTTACTAAAAAAGGTTGTATTCAATGTCCTGCATACAATTTAATTGCTCAATAGATATTAGACGCATGGAACAGTATAGATCCTACACTTATTCATAAATCTTTTAAGTGCTGTGGTATTTCTAATTCACGGGATGGAAAAGAAGACCATCTAATTTTTGACTATGATCAACTTGGACCACAAACAAATTCACGTAATCATATATATATTCATGAAGAATCAAGTGATATTAGTAAAGACTCTAGTGTTAATACACAAGAAGGTTCTAGCAATAATACAGAAGAAGGTTTTAGCAATAATACAGAAGAAAGTTTTAGTAATAATATGAATGAAAATTTGAATATTGATACAAATAAACGTTTAAATACTTATATAGGTAAAATTTAAACTTTAAATTAATAAGTTTATATATTAAATAATTTTGGTACCTTAATTTAAATTTAGTGGAAGAAATCAATTTAATCAGCGATGATGATAGTCAAGTTAATAGAAATGAACATGGACATACTAGTGAAAGCGAAAATAGTCATGTTAATGAAGACGAATATAACGAAGATAAAGATAATTATACTAGTGAAAATGGTAGTTATTTTATTAGCGATGATGAGGATAGTTATTACAACATAGGAGAAACTGACTATGTTAATGAATGGGTTTAAGTAAGTAATTTTATTAATTTTATTAATTTTATTAATATCTAA